AGTGAACAAAACATCTCATCATTTATTTCGCAAACAATTGAAACCAAAATTTGTATTTTTCTCTCCATTTTCTCTCGCAGTCTGTGTTTTGACGGCTCAACCGATTGTCGGCTCATTGTTGTCATCAAAGAGTATCCGCCGATCCGGTCGTTACACCCGCGCGGAGGCCATCGCCTGATCGACACGACTGTACGGCGCGTATTGTATTGGCGGCGAAGTATCCGCTGAAAGGAGTGATTTGATTGGACCGCACGATGGGATCCATTCGCAAGAAACTGGTGATTGTGGGCGACGGCGCCTGCGGTAAGACCTGCCTTCTGATCGTCTTCAGCAAAGACCAGTTCCCCGAAGTGTACGTCCCGACAGTCTTCGAGAACTATGTCGCCGACATTGAGGTCGACAGCAAACAGGTATGTGTTGTACGCTCTCAACGACGACCACTACTTCACGCCTATGTTTACGCTAAACATTGTTTGCGCGAAGTATTGGTTTTGTTTATCATTTGTTTAATTCATTCATCGATTCAAACAAATTGTTTATTTATTTTGTTTTGTATTTAGATATGAATTGAGTGCCAATTAATGGCAAACACAGGCTTTTGTTAATTAGTTGTTTGTTTGGAAAGTTATTTATGTTTTTAAATTAATGGGAAATTTGTTGCATAAAAAGTGTATATTTTCTCAGTATTTCTTATCTCTTATAAGAAATTATTTACTAATTGTTTATCAATTGATTAAGTGATTAAATGAAAAGACCTTAAATATTATTAACGATAACATATTTCTATGGATTTGATACTAAAAATGGTTTGTTTTGAATGATAGGTGGAGTTAGCCCTTTGGGATACCGCCGGACAAGAGGACTACGACCGACTGGTCAGTACATTAAACCCAATTGAAAGTGAAATCATTTCTACGAATACTAATTGATGTGTATATTGTTGTTAAACAGCGTCCGCTCTCATACCCGGACACCGATGTAATACTGATGTGCTTTAGTATCGATAGTCCGGACTCTTTGGAGAACATAATGGAGAAGTGGACGCCAGAAGTGAAGCACTTCTGTCCGAATGTACCGATCGTTTTGGTCGGCAATAAGAAGGACTTACGGAACGACAACAACACGATCCGAGAGTTGGGCAAAATGAAACAGGAGCCGGTCAGGAGTGAGCAAGGTCGACTCATGGCCGAGAAGATCAACGCTTTCGGTTATCTCGAGTGTTCGGCCAAAACCAAAGAGGGAGTGCGCGAAGTGTTCGAAATGGCGACCAGAGCTGCCCTCCAGGTCAAGAAGAAGAAGAAAAAGCCCTGTCTTATCGTTTAGGCTATAATTCATATTTAATTATATATTCTATTGAATTAACTTTAAAGATAATTACTCTCTCCCTCTCTCTCCTACTCTCTATCTCTCTCTCTGTCTATCCTCTCGTACTCTTCCGATAAGTCTATACCTTTCGATACCTTCAATACCTTCTACTCATTATAATTATTTTAATTTTTGGACTTAATTTCGTTTTATTATATGATTATTATTATTATATTGTTTTTCTCCTCAATTTGTTTTGTGTTAATGACTCCAAAAGCCTATAAACAGGAATATGTTTCACACCAAATGTTTTGATTTTTATGATTGATTTTAACCAGACTTTATGTAAATGACTTGTTTGTTGTGTAAAGTCTTTGAAATACATTATAAGATAAGCTACAAATTGGACACAATTTTTTGACTTGAAAACCAAATCAAACATTATTTACATTATTATTATAAAAATTATATTAAAAGTTGTCCTCCAATACCGAACTAAAGACACACAAAAAAATATTTGATAACAAATTGTGAGCTTTTATTACCATTTAAACGAAGCGATTATTATTATAAAAATGCAAATAAAAGCAAATTGTTTTTGCTTTATAAAAAAGACGTTTTAAAAAAGTTTTTGGTTTTTAGCTATAGTTTAATACGAATAGTCCCTAACATTTGATGAATCAATTAAAAAACAATATTTGTTATCAGATTTGTATGTAAAACAAGAGGAAAGAAAACATAATTTTCAAAACAGAAATTATATTGAAATTGTATGCACTTATGATAATCGTTGGATTATTGGATCGCATTTTATAATAAAATTATCAAACAATTTGACCACAATTTTGTTTATTTGTATATATTTTTTAATTGTTACACAATTTGATGCATAAGTTTGTAATGATTTCTGATATCTTTATGAGACGAGTGTTTAATAATGTTTGCAAAAATGTTACCAAAAGTTTTTAACATTGAAGTCCTGTTCTGATGTTTATCTCTCGCATTGAATGCAAACTTTACGACCGATTTATCACTGATTATATGTGAAAATACATAAATACTTTGTATAAGTATTATATTTATTCATATAATTAATTAATTACTCAATTAATGGCAAAACTAATTGAGAGACAATTGAAGTGCAGTTTTGGTTTGAATAGAGAGTGACGTCAAGTGTTTTGATGGCATTTAGAGTCTCTATGACTACAAACTGCACACAAACTGCACATCCATTGCACAACACTTTCACGTGTTTTACCACTTCTTCGCCGATTGTCTTTCACACAAAACCACTTAACCATTGCGTTGATAATGAATTACGTGAGATGTGGTCCACTTATGAACAAATGTTTGACAACTGTCTTAAGAAATCACTACAAACTAGTGGTTCAGCCAAAGAGCAGATCTTTGTTTACATCGGATGCCAAACATTTGTGGTCTGTCTGTCAAAGACATGATTATCTCATTGAACGCAACAACTCGTGGTCTCATCACTTGTCCATCAGATGTCTGTCAAAAACCAAAGACAAACTCAAAGACAAGAAGAAGGGATCGAAACCGAAGGTTGTGTTAAACGACGAAGAGATGAATGAATTGATTCCCATTAATGAACTGAAGATTGAATTAAATTCAGTGATCAATAGATTGAGAGACGATTTGATAGCGAATGTCAATATCAGAAGTAATCCCAAATCCATTGACAAGTAATGACCGCATTATAACACATGTCTTATAGATATGTTATACTAAAAGTGTTGTCCTATTTCTTGTGTCCAACAGTTTGATGGTTGACATGAATGGTGTGAAACACAGTCTCAACGAAGTGGTAACCATTAACCGAAAGTCTCCGCAACTGATTGTCCTAAACATGGCTTCAATGCCAGAGGCGATCAAAGCGGTGCTGAAGGCTCTGAATGAGTCGGGAATGAACTTAAGTCCACAACAAGAAGGGAATGTGATATACGTTCCGATCCCTAAAGTGACGCGAGAGCACAGGGAAGGTCTGGCCGACAGCGCCCGCACTCTCAGCCAGAAGGCCAAGGATGAGCTCAAAGCCATTCTCTCCTCGTTTACCACTTATGTTAAGAAACAAAAGAAGGCAAACGTTTCCGAAGAACTCATCTTTGATGTGAACCAAAATCTCAAACATTTAATTGATTCTAAAATCCAAGAATGCGACCAAATTTTGGATCAAAAGTTGAAGGAATTGTTGAAATAAAAACTCATTTCATTTTTAAAATAGTGGTCTTTTCATTATAACTTGAAGTTAACTTCATATTCATAGACAACTAAACATTGATATGTTTTTCATAGCAAATCAACTAATATACAGTATTACTAATTAGTAATTAGTAATTACATACAGAATATAAACAGAATAATATGGTAATTATTTAATATAAGGATTTAGTATACATGTAATTTGGACATACATTTGGAATTAATTGACAAATATTAACAAATTAAATTCAAATTAGACTTTGTTATGAATGCCGTTGAGATTCTTGTCAGTCTTTTCGCTTTTGTCACTTTTGTCATCCATACGAATGGTTTCTTTGCTGTGCATCGCTTTTTCGGTCACTATTGGTAAATGTGCCGTTTTATCGACCAGGTTCCTTTGCGAACCATAGTTAAGTGTGACCATGTAATTAGTTTTCGATTGGTTCATCGCGTTCTCTACTATACGTTCATTAGCTTCAACCAAATGCATGTCTTTGTCTAAATGAGACACTTTTAGTTGCAAACTAATGACCGACTCTTCCATTTCATTCACACTAAACAACACTTTTTCGTTTTTCTCATTCTCTAAGTAAACGCAAGATTTGGTCTCAGGTTTTGGATCCAAATTTGTTAAATCGCTGTAAAGACTGCAAATGGACTCGAGATTCTTCTCCTGTTGTTTGATTGCAATCAATGTACTCGTGATTGATATCAAATTCTTCTTCTCGTTCTCCAAACGCTGTTTATGTGTCCGCACTTTTGTCAACGCTTTGGACAGATCTGAGTGCCATTTGTGGCGATCAGTCAAAACATCATTCATGTGCTGTCGTTTATCAGTCGCTTTCTTCAGCCCGTTCTCTAACTCGTCGAGTGAAACGGGTTTGCCTTTAGAGAGCAATTCTGTAATTTTGCTCAATTCTGACGCTTCAAACTTCTGAAGATATAACTGACTCTTTTCATTGTCTCCCTCCGGATGTGTTACAGTAGTCGCCGTTTTCGACATTGTTTTCAAACTAATTCAAAGTCGCTCTAACTTGCGATCACTTTTCAGTAAAGATAATAATATTATCGTATATATTGTTTAAATAGGAATCAAATACAATAGTAGTCTAAACTTTAGCTAAACTTTGAATATAAAACAAATACAGTTTTCTAACGAATAATTTGTATTCAAATAAAATTAGATTGAAAACAAACGCGTGATTTAATAATGAAAATAAACTAAATATCATTTCAATCCTTAACACTGAAAATTTAATAAAAAAAAAGTTTGTCTAAAACTTGTCATTTGAATACAAGTGAAGTGAAAGGTTTGAGTCAAATCTCGGCGCCAATGCATACGTCAAGCATTGGTCCGTATGTTTGGTTATGTCATCAATACATGCATTGCTTTGCCATTCATTCACTGTTTATGAAATCATTGCAATTGTATTGCAATATAAACACGTGTTCAACACTTTTGGCAAAAAATTTGTCACATATTTGTGATTGTTATCCACATTAAGAGGACATCCCGTCGATGGCAGCCATGGATGGCGTCAAAGGGACCGCAAAGTTGCGCTTTTATCGGGAAATGGAGACCAAAATGCAGACCAAATGGCAAACCGATCGCATCTATGAAGTGGACGCTCCCAAAGGGCCGAAGAAGTCATCCGAAGAGAAGTTTATGGGAACCTTTCCCTTCCCTTACCCTAACGGACGCATACATATCGGACACACCTTCTCGTTCAGGTTTGACCTCCAGTAAACTGTGTGTAAAAGAGTAAAATATAGTCAAAAATTTTGAAAACGGTATGGAAAGTTTTGTCAAATAATAGCCGAAAACCGCTAACTTTCCGGCCTTCACAGAGTACGGATTTGGCTTTCACGCCACGGGAATGCCTATCAAGGCGTGTGCCGACAAATTGAGCCGTGAAATGAAGGACTTTGGGTTTCCGCCAGTGTTTCCCGAAGAGACCGCAGACGAGTCGCCGGCCAACGCATCGTCCAATGAATTGGTCATTAAAGACAAGTCGAAGAGTAAACGAAGTAAACTTCAGGCGAAGACAATTCAAGCGAAATATCAGTGGCAGATAATGCAGTCGTTGGGTATGACCGACGATGAGATCGCAGAGTTTGCCGAACCTCTCCATTGGTTGGATTATTTCCCGCAGAAATGGATCGAAGACTTGAATGCGTTTGGATTGAGAGCCGATTGGCGGCGAGTTTTTATGACCACCGATAAGAATCCTTACTTCGATTCGTTCATCAAATGGCAATTCATTCGTCTGAAAGAGAGGAATAAAATCAAATTTGGCAAAAGATATACCATATTCTCGGCTAAAGACAACCAGCCCTGTATGGATCACGACAGGGCCAGTGGTGAGGGCGTCGGCCCTCAGGAGTACACACTCATCAAAATGAAAGTTCTGGATCCGAAGCCTCAGAAACTCCAAAAGTATTTATTAGACAATTATATGATATTGATTATGGTATTAATTATTATAAATTTCAGGCTTAAGGCTGACATTTATTTAGTTGCGGCCACTCTTAGACCCGAAACAATGTACGGACAGACAAACTGTTGGCTGAGACCCGACATGAAATATATCGCATATCGAGTGAATTCGGGCGAAATATACATATCGACCAATCGATCGGCTCTTAACCTCTCATTTCAAGGGTTCACTAAAGAGAACGGTGTTGTGGACAAAGTGCTGGACCTCTTGGGCAGTGACATAATGGGTGCTAAACTGAAGGCTCCGCTCACTTCTTACGAGAGTATTTATGCGCTGCCAATGCTTACCATCAAAGAGGATAAGGGAACGGGTGTTGTGACGAGTGTGCCGTCTGACGCACCCGACGATTTTGCCGCCTTAAGGGATCTCAAGAACAAACAGCCCCTCAGAGAGAAATATGGCATCAAAGACCATATGGTTCTGCCCTTCGAACCGGTCTGTCATTTACTATATCTTCATTGTTTTGTCTCAACTAATTGTCTATTATTATTATAAAAGGTTCCGATTATAGAAATTCCAGATTTTGGTAATTTATCTGCGGTTAAAGTTTGCGATGATTTGAAGATTCAAAGCCAAAACGACACACAAAAGTTGGCCGAAGCCAAGGAAAAAGTATACCTCAAGGGCTTCTATGAAGGGGTTAGTAATGAACGGAATTGTGTTTCATTAGGATTGCAATAATATTGTTATAATTGATTGATTAGGTTATGATTGTTGGCCCGCATAAAGGCAAGAAAGTGTGTGACATCAAGAAAGACGTTCAAAAGGAAATGATTGACCGCAAGGAAGCAGTGATTTATATGGAACCCGAAAAACAAATCATTTCCCGATCGGGAGACGAATGTGTTGTCGCTCTTTGCGACCAATGGTTAGTTAGACTTTGAAATAGTCTGTAATTTACTATAAATTATACTTTGAATGAATAACAGGTTCTTAGAATACGGTGAGAAGAAATGGAGAGAAGCGGCGGACAAATCGTTGGCCCAAATGAATACATACCACGACGAGACGCGAAGAATTGTAATTTACTATAAATTATACTTTGAATGAATAACAGGTTCTTAGAATACGGTGAGAAGAAATGGAGAGAAGCGGCGGACAAATCGTTGGCCCAAATGAATACATACCACGACGAGACGCGAAGAAATTTTGTGGCGACACTCGATTGGCTTAAAGATCACGCCTGTTCTCGACAGTACGGACTCGGGTCGCGTCTTCCGTGGGCTCAGGAATGGCTAATCGAGTCTCTGTCCGACTCAACCATTTATATGGCTTACTATACGATATCGCACTTACTTCAGGGCGGAGTTATGGACGGAAGCGGTCCGTCGCCGATAGGCATCAAACCGGATAAGTTGACACCAAAAGTGTGGGACTATATCTACTTCGAGGGCGTGTTATACCCGAAAGACTGCGGAATACCTAAAGAAAAATTGGATAAATTGCGAAAGGAATTCAATTACTGGTATCCTTTAGATCTGAGAACTTCAGGCAAGGATTTAGTGCCCAATCATTTAACGTATTGCATATACAATCACTGCGCCATTTGGGACAATCAGCCAGAGTTGTGGCCGCGAAGTATCCGAGCGAACGGTATCCTTTAGATCTGAGAACTTCAGGCAAGGATTTAGTGCCCAATCATTTAACGTATTGCATATACAATCACTGCGCCATTTGGGACAATCAGCCAGAGTTGTGGCCGCGAAGTATCCGAGCGAACGGACATCTGTTGCTCAACAACGAGAAAATGTCGAAATCGACCGGAAATTTCCTGACTCTCTCCGAAGCGATTGAGAAATACTCGGCCGACGGTATTGTCGATTGCATTTGGTTTTGATGTTTAATTACAATAGAAATTATATATTAGGCGTTAGGTTTGCTTTGGCCGACTCGGGCGACGGTATCGATGACGCGAACTTCACTGAGAAACAGGCAGACAATGGTCTCCTTAAACTATACAACTTTATTGACTTCAGCAAAGAAATGATTGCTTCCTTCGATTCATTGAGAAGCGGATCAACGAATTCATTTGATGACAGAGTCTTTGAGAAGTATTGCATTTTGCTTATAGTTTGACAATAGTTTTCTAATGGATATGATGTCTATATAGCGCTATAAATCGGGGAATATCTCAAACCGAAGCCCACTATAAGGTTATGAACAAGTTCCTTCCCGACTCTTGACCAAAGAAACTTAAGGTTCTGCGCTCCCTATTCATGTCCCTTAACTCAGTTTCGCAACCTTACGTATTCCTAAACCACGAGTTTAAATAGCTCACAGTCCGTTAGTTATTGTCTCCCATATGTCCGCATACGGCTGAATACGTATGGACTGAAGTTCTGAAGAAAGCCGGAAGTGTTAACTCTACAAAATGGCCGGTCGTTAAAGCGGTCGATGAGGTGTTGCTCCAGTCATTTGCTTATCTAATGGACGCTTCGCATAGTTTCCGATTACGTCTGAAGACATACTTCACTCAAAAGGGAAAGGATAAGAATAAGGCGCCGGTTGTGAACCCAACGCACGGAACCATTTATGTGGCCAAACAGTTCCCCAAATGGCAGTCTATTATATTGAATACTATGAAAGCTTTATACGAGGTTTGGGACTATAATATCGCCATTCATTGCATTTATTTTTAGCTTTAATTTTAGGAAAATAAGAAACAACTTCCAGAAAATAAAATAATTGCCGCAAATCTCTCCAAAATCGCCGATTTAAAGAAATACATGAAAAAAGTTATGCCTTTTGCAGAACACAGAAAAGTATTGATTTCCATAATTATTCACTTAATTAGTGATTAAACATTATTTGATTGTTTGCAGCAAATGTTTCAAGAGTTCGGCGAAAGTGTTTTCAACGAGACGTCAGCCTTTGATGAGAAGGAAGTCCTTCAGGAAAACATAGCGTATTTGACATCAACTCTGGATTTGGAGGGTTTGGACATTGAATTCTCGGACAAAGCGGAGGAACGAATTCAAGACGAGACGTGTCCGGGCGACCCATTCATCGTGTATAGAGTCGACCCATCGGTTCCGTTGACTGCAATCAATCAACAGCCGAACAAACCTTATTTCGAATTAAGAGTTCCGGTCTTTAAATCAGATTCTGTGAGAAAAGTTGTCGAAAGGATTTGCAAAGAGAATCGATATATAAAAGGTATGATTCAATACACTTAATACTAATTGTATTGTGATTTACATCAATATTTTATTCAAACATTAGATCCTTTGAAAGTAAAACTCTTGAGATACGCGGACCCAAAGGTAGGACCCTATCGTCTGCCAAACATCGACAACATATTAGACGATAAGATTGAGATTAAATCAAAGGCAAAGATATCGGCGACTCTCGAGTCCAACGAAATTTTTATCGAAGAGAACGGAAAGAAACAAAGTATTGGAAACCAAATCGTTTATTTAGTTAATGAAAATTAAACCAAACATTGATTTAAATTTATTATTTAAAGTAATTTATATTTTTTAACATAAATTTAAATTAAATTCAGATAATAAAAAGCTTATAAAAATTCAATGACTTCTTAAGTATTGATTTATTGAATAGTTTAAAAAATATAAAAAATACGAATAATTAAAGTTAAAAATCTAATATTGTTAAAAAGTTGTGGTTTTGAAATACGATAAAAATGCAATTTGTAAGTAAATTAGTTCTTCAGATGATTGATCCTTTGTTTGATTCTGTGTTCGAGTGCGGAGACAGTCATGTCTTTATTGATCTTAACATAACTGCCTTTCTTCACATGGTTATTCTTCTAGGTCAGCCCGTATTTCGCCTTGTTCATCAGGTGCACGAGAGACCGAGAGCCATACCTATCTGAGCATAACTTTGATGACTAGTCAAATAACTGCTCAACAAGCATTCCCTGCCGTAACTTCTTAGTGCCGATGAAAAACGTGTGAATAATTCGAATAAATTCGGGTAAAGACCGAAGAATCCTAAGCTCTGTCTCCACTTCGGGCTTTCGAGTCATCTCTTGAACCAAATTTGCCGCTTCTTTCGCTCGGATCTAATTGTAAGACAAATATTAAGACAAACAATAAGTTTATATTCCATAAAACATTTTTATAAGACATACTTTGTTTAACAAATCCATTGAAATTCCCTTAAGTAATCCTTTGGTTATCTTCTGATTAGAAGCCGTCGTTTTATTGTCATTATTAGAGTCAATGTCATTATCTTTATTGTCATCTGCGGTGGCAGTCGTCGATGTGATGCCTAACCGCTGTTTCGTGTTCTCTAAGAACACTTCCGCCGTCTTCTCTCCCAGTTTTGGTTCGACAGGCAATGCATTCACGTTTGGGACGATATCTGGCACTGAATCCAACCTAAACTTCGGGTGCCATCGGACCAACTCCTTGTCCTCGACATGAATGCCCACGCCTTCCAAATATCTCCTGTGATGTCCTTTCGTGATGTCCAACAGATTCGCGACAAACAACTGATACCTCTCTAAGAGATGAATTGAATTCATTCTGATGTCTGTGTTATAGACAGGAGTTATAATCAATTGATAACTGGGTTTACGATTGTCTAAAATACTGGAAAACATTTCGTATTTCACTTTAAACCCATTGCTGAAGACTGTTTGGATTTGAGCCAATCTTTTAGTGTCAAACTTCTTGCCGGTCATCCTTTCGACCGAATCTTTCAGTTTATCGAAAGTACAGACTTCTTGTCTCTTGTAATGCATCGAAACAATAGTATCCATCGATTTAAACAAATCGGC